TTTTTTTTTTAGAACCCAAATGTTCCCCACCCAGAACCTCAGGGAAATCTCCTGGGCTGAGCTCTGCCACAGTGAGGGCACAGCTCTGGGAGGAAGCACAAGCACCAGCTGCAAACTTCATATTTTTAATGAAAATTTTGTATTTTTTAATGAAAACTTTGTAATTTTTTAGTGAAAACTTTGTATTTTTTTTATGGAATCTTGGAATTGTTTGGGTTGAAAAGACCTTAAAGTCTGCCCCATGGACAGGGACAGTCCCAGTGCTCAGAGCTCCATCCAAGCTGGCCCTGGACACTGCCAGGGATGGATCTTTTGTCAAAAGGGGACAAAATACTCTGAAATATCTTTGACAATTCAGGCCTTCACCTCTGATGCAGAAATCACTGACATTAAAGTCTTCCATTGCAACCACGATTCCTTTCCCCCAGTCTGAGCAATGGGTGGTAATTTAAGATATTTAAACATTGCAATGTGTGAAGTATCTGATATTTCAGAAAACTGCTGATAATTTATTTCCAAGTCTGTGTTTATTAAGTTTACATGTCTTATTTTGGCTATAAAGGCAATTTTATGTGCTGGTTTACAAAGGAGCTAACAATAAACACACCTGAAAACAAGAAAATTTCGTTTATTTGTGATCTTTTCAGAATGCTTTGTGTCACTCTTCACTTTTGTACCAGAGGATCACACACTATTTCTGTCTCAATGTCTGCAGGGCAAATTAATTCTTAGTAATTAATTAATAATACTAAATTCCCAACCTGTAAAACTGCACAGCCATGGGACCAGGATGTGCTGAGCTGCAGGAAAGGGGAACTCTGGGCTTCTTTGTGGTCTCCAGCTTTGAGCTGAGCCCAGCTAAGCCAGACCTTGAGGATCCTTCCCTGATTTTCAGTGCTCAGAGGTCACAGAACCTTCCTGAACCTCGGGCTTTAAACCTTGACCCCCTTGAAACCAATCCCTGAAACCTCTCCTGAGCTCAGCCTCCATTCTTGGAATATTTGGTATCCTGACAGAGCCTAAATTGATCTTTGCCTTCGAAAATGTCACAAAATGCCATCAAATGAGAGAAGCCTCCCCACAGGATGTGGGCTGTGAGTGGGGGAAGTCTGGCTGAGTTTATTCAGGAAAATAACAAAGCTCAGCTTGGGACTGCCCCTGTCTCTGCAGGAATCACTTCACTGGCAGCTCTAAAGTTGGTTTTAATCCCAAATTATCCATTTCCATAGATCCAGGTGCCTGGGAATGTCTCCTCTGGGAATTGTTAGGCTCCCAGTTCTGTCTAGATTGGATAAAAAGGGAAAAATATTCACTGTGGTGGCTCCACACACAGGAGATCACATTCTATACTGCATCCACCCAAGAACATAATAATTGATGTGTCACTCGGTCCTTGGGCTTCTCTTCCTTCATTCCTCTCCTTGGTGCACTTTAAATAATCTGGAAAACTCTGGATAAATGTCAAATGCACAGACTCAGGCTGCACAATGTACAAAATTCCCCCTCACCCTCCCAAAAAAAACCCAAAACAACCCTTTAGATTGCAAAATCCCAGCTTCTGACATAAAATTTTAGATCTGATTTATTCCTGAAGAAAGGAGAGTCGCTGACTGTATAAAAACAGGATTTTTTTTTTTTTTTTCCCTTCCTCACCGTTTCCTGGGAAGGGGCAGCTCTGCAGCTTTCAGTTCATCCCCATCACTCAAGCCCTGGCTTTTGGGTTCTGCCACCACACCTCCGAAAATCTGCTGTGAGCAGAGCCTGACTAATTCCCCCCAGGGCTTTCTGTGGGTGCTGCTCAGCTGCAGCAAGGCTTGACAGATCAATTAGTCGGTGTCTTTAATGAGGCACTAATTGGTGGCTGGAGGAATTTGCTGTTCTCCTGGAGCTGGGCGAGCAGGAACTTGCTGAGAGCAAAAAGGGGGGGAAAAAAAAGCGAATGTTTAATTAATGTTTTTGGGGGGACAATACAAATTTTAGGTCCATCCCTTCTCCATGCTGATCTTCCTCCCATCCTTCTTTGCCATAAGCTGCAGCTTCTCTTTTAGAAATGTTTTCTTTTGAATAAAGGGAAAACCAAAGCACGACCTCCGGCCTTGTTGTGAGCCGGGGAAAAAAAACCTCGAGGCTTTTCTTGAAAAGTCACTTGGGTTGACTTTGGTGTGACAGAAAAGTCCAAACACCTGGAAATGGCATCTTAAGGCCATTTCAAACCAGTCCTGTTCAAAGCCCATTCGGTGAAGTGTTAAGCTATTAATGCTTTGTTTTTGTAAGAATCAACTCAGAACCATCAATGGTGTGACACTGAGGAATCAAAGGAACCCGGAGCTGCCTGCAGGACACCAGGAACCGCTGCTGGCACCGTGTCCCAAAGGGATCAGGAGGCACAGAGGAAAACAAAGATCAGCCCCAGCCTTTGCACAGCGTGTTTGGGTTTATTTTTAATTTCTGGAACAACACACGGGACCTTCAGCAGGGCTCTGGCCTGGCCTGACACCTGCAGTGCTGAGGTAAAGGATGCTCTGATCCCTCAGGGGTGGAAAATGGGGAATTCAGGGATGACCTGGAACAGAGTTAAAGGGATAAAGCAGGGATTTATTAAAATAATAATGTAAAATAATAATATAAAATAATAATAATATCAAATAATAATATCCTTGAAAGGATTCACCTTGGGCAGTGCAAGAGCCTGGCCATGGCTACACCCAAGCTGGACTCTGGGTCATGATTTTTCACACTTTTATCAGTTTGGGTCCATTTCCATTTTGGGGTTCACTGTCCAATCCCAGCTCCAGGTTCTGCAGTCCCATCCTCCCAGATTCTCTCCTCCAGTCGCTGCTGTTTGCACTTTTTGGGGCTGGAGCTGCAGCGTGTCCTTGGTTGTGGGGCTGGAAAAGGATTGTTCTGTGTGCCTGAGCTGGGAGGAGAACTTGGAACACTTGATATGGAGTTCAGAGTTCTATCCTAATGCACTGCAGAGCCTGGGAAATAGAAAAGTTAAAATTTCAGGCATCATCTCCTTCCCCAGGCAAACACCCAAAGGTTTGGCACAGCCTGAACAAAGCAGCTCTTGGTTCTCAAATTCTGCATTGAGCAAGAGCTCCAAACCTGATGCTTTAATTGCAGCTGGGTGGACAACCCTGAGCCCCCCACCCTCCCTGGGACTGGGGGATAAAACCAGCCCGGATCCCAGGGAGGGGAGGTCCCACAGCAGTGACAAAGTGACAAAGTGGATTTTTCACCTTTCCCACGTGCTATTTGTCAGTCTCTCCCTGCATGGGAGGCTCTCCACGGATGAGTGGGAGCAGGTTCCTGCTCTGGAATGCAGCCAGGGAACATCCTCCCATGTATTTAACTCATGACCTGCTGCTGCTGCTGCATTTTTGGCATCCCAGTGGTGTTCCAAGCAGCCCTCCAAAACTAAAAGCGATCTAAAATTTAATAATAATAATAATAATAATAATAATAATAATAATAATAATAATAATAATAATAGTAGGGGAAATTTTCTTACCCTCAGAAAAATGCACTCGAATATTTTACCACGTGTAACACCATGGAATTGTTTTTTTCTCCTTCAAAAGATCAACTCGGAGGGATAAGAATTTGGGGGAAAAAAACCCAAGATATAACGGCAAAGGTAGAAAATTATGGGAGTCTCAGAATTAATTTACAGGTATTCATGGATTTGCTGATGAGGTCAAAACTGCACTCCCAATTCTTTGATATAAACGATTTATTTACCTTATTTACCCTCCATTTCAGAAGGAGTTCAGCAATGAGGCCAAAACTGGAGCTTTGGGAAGCAGCTATTCCCATACACATCCAAACATTTGTTTTCCAATAAATTTCTTTTTCCCACAGGAGCTCCAATCAATCCATTGTGATACTTTACCCTTTGTTTCCTTTATCAAATGTTAATTTATGAGGACAAAAGACACCACAAGGCCCCTGAAAATTCCAGCAATGCTTGACATTCTCCTGGGAATGCCAGAACCAGTTCCATGGGGATGGCCATGGAGGTCACCTGGATGCCCACGCCCTCCTTGGCCCCTTTATTTTTAATATCTCCACTGATCTCTGTGGATAATGTGTCCCTGTGGTTGGGTTGACTCCTCTCGTTGTGAAATTTGTTTTGCTCCCATCTAATTGGAATTTCTCTCCCTGCAATTTTCTCTGTTCCCTCTTCCTTTCACTCTGCAGCTCCAGGAGGGCTCTGGTTCCCGTTGTCTCTGTCCTTCTCCAAACAGAATCAATAATAATTGGGGAAATTCCTTCTCCCAAATTTTCCTCTGTGTTTAACCCCTCTCACTCCCTCCCTGGTCCAGCATTCCAGTGCCTTTCCCTGCCAGGGAGCCCAGAATTGTCCCAGAGCAGCAGCTCCAGCCTCTCCAGTGACCCTTTGGGAATTATGGACTCAAATTCAAGTGCAGAGCTGGAAAATCCTGCACGAACAGAGCAGGGGTGCAGAGAGGGCTTTGTATTCCCTGGGAGGGACGGGATGGACGCTGGGGCTGCACCCTGTGGGATACTGGGAGCACTGGGAGCACTGGATTGGAGCCTTTTCCTTCATTGCAGGCTCAGGATCTGCTGCAGGTCTGGAATATCCCCCAGAGCTGTGCGTGCTCAGAACTCTTCAGATCAGCAGGAATTTCCGGGATGTTTTAGGATTTGCTCCTGTTGCCTAATTGCTCATAATTGTCCATCAACCAGGGACGTGTCCTGAATCCTCCCCACGAGTCCCTGCATGTTCCTTGCCAGGCTTTTCTCCAGAAAAACTTCCCAGGACACAAAGTCCCCAAGCAGGGACATCCAGCCCGACCCCAGGGCAAACCCCACCCTGCCTTTTGTCCTCTCAGCCTCACAGGAACAGATGCCCAAATTAAGGAAAAAAAATAAAAAAAAATTTAGAACAAAACCACTGAAGGGGATTAAAAAAATTTAAATTCCAGCTCCAATCAGATCTCCTACCATCCTGGAATTTTGATGTAATGGCATTTCTGTTTTTTATCCTGTTAACTGATGAGAAATCAAACATTTCTTAATTCTTTAAAGACAAAATAATTCATATCCTTCTTGGGATGAGTTAGAGGGGCCCAAGGCTTACCTGACCTATTGAAATCTTTTCTGCAGGAGCTTTCAGGCCCTTGTTTTATTGGAATGAGCTCCTCTGAGCCCAATCCTGTACAGGAAGGAAGTCCTGGGCTACCCTGCAGTGGGGGAAGGTGATCACTGAAATTCTGGGAACTCTGGTGGTGTGCAGGGATTTTTCCCGTTGAGATTTTTGCATGTTTAGATGGTAAATCACTAAGAGAAGGCCAATTCTGGAAGGATGGGTTGAAACCAAACCATCACTTCCAAAACTCCACATTACTTTGGATTTATGAAAATTAAACCTCAGATCTTGGAGGAACTCTCCCATTGCTCTGTCATAAAAGACAGAAATTGCTGCTTTTTGGTTAAATCACCAACAAAAGCAGGATTTGTTTAAAAAAAAAATCCCTCCCGTTGTGCTGGAAACAGGGAAATTGGAGCAGAGGGGCAGGCAAAGGAATCTCCTGTGTCCATGGCTGGGCAGGAACTCAGGGGGTGCTCAGGAATTCCTGTCTTGTCTTGGCCACGCAGTGCTGGGGAGTCTTTGCTGCTTTTCTCCCAAAATTCTCATCCCAAAATGGGCTCATTTAATAGGAAAAGGAGCCCTGGGGTGTCTTTGCTGCTTTTCTCCCAAAATATTTGTTCTGATCCCAAACTGGGCACGTTTAACAGGAAAAGGAGCCCTGGGGGATGCTCTGGGCTGGGTGTGAAGGGCTCCCAGCAGAACTCAGATTTCCCAGAGCAGCTGAAGGGCTCAGTGATGCCCTTTGGTTTTGTCTGATTAAAGCGTGAGGAGAACTTGGTAACACTTTATCTAAAGTTCAGAGTCACACACCAATGCAATACAGAAACTGAAAATATCAAAGCTAAAACTTAAGGTTTGTGCATGGCCACAACCAGCTCAGCTCCAACCACAGCTCAGAACCAGCTCCAAAATAACCAAAAGAAAAAGAATTAAGCCTTGATGGGATGGAAATTTTGGCAAACACACAGCCAGGATTATTTTTCTGAGTTGTGAGGAGAACCTGCCTACACTTTATATGAAATTCAGAGTTCTGCACTTATGCAGGACAGAGTCTGGAAAATATAAAACCTAAAACTTCAGGCTTTGTTTGTGCATGGCCACAACGAGCTCAGCTCCAACCACAGCTCAGAACCAGCTCCAAAATACCCCAAAATAAAAAACTGAGCCCTCGTGGGATGGAGATTTTGGCAAACACCCAGCCAGGATTCTTTTCCCCTGGGAACTGTGTTCTAAGGCAATAACCCTGAGTCAGAGCCTGGCTGCTGGGGCTGGAACAGTTAATTAGGCTGGGCTTAGGCTGGGCTTAGCAGAACAATCCCTGCTCCATCAACACCGGGACACGCAGCCCTGCCCCTGTCCCTGCACAGGACAAATCCTATTGACTCTGCCCCATCACCTGCTCGGAGATTTCATCACCTCTGCCTTATAAATTGTCCCCTCGGTGCCATGGCCACGCTGGGGACACTGCAGGGAGCTGGGCCTGGCTCTGGGTTGGTGTTTGCCATGAAGGTCACAGGAACCCTGCTGTTCCTGGCGTTGGCACTTCTGTGCCTGGCACGTGAGTAATTCCTGGGAATTTTTCCTTCTTGGGGGGGGGGTTTCAGTGTGCTCGGGTGGTTCCTGTACAGGCTGGGAGGGAGAAAATGGAATTTTCTATTGAAAATCTTATTATTTGTCACTCTAAGGATTTATTACCCAGCTGGGGTTTTTTGGGGGGGTGGAAGATGTTCCTTTCAGGGTGGAACTCAGAGCTGTGTTCTGTGACTCAGGAGAGCTGTGACACCTCAGAACCACCTGGTTTTAGCTGTTTATTTTTAAATTTCCATCTGAAAAGGGAGCTGGCAGCTGCTGAGCTCCTTCCTCTGCCAAACTGGCCAAACAGGGGAACGGCTGATGATGCTCAGGCCACGTAAAACATCTTTTAAATCTGATTTTTGCAGGCTGCAGGGAGATTTGAGGGACAGGTTGGTATAAAAAAAACAGGGATCTGGGAGGAATTTCTTCAGCCTTTACTTGGCAATTTTATTTTTACTACAAACTTGCAGTAAAAAATATTTTTTTTAGAGAAAAAGAAATGCATTTAAAATAACTGAAAGACTCCACACCTCTGCAGGTAGTATAGAAGTTTAAAAGCATTATGAACATTAAAGAAGCAAAATAATGAAAATAATGGAAATAATTCACTCAGTGTTCCATTGACTGCAGGAAAATAAAGAAATATTAAATATTCCTCCCATTAGAATTCCAGGAAATCTTTTCTTTGAACTTTCTGGTTTATCTTGTCTGTTTGAAAACTTCATGAATCAACACTGTCTGAGCCACACCCTTTTTTTTCATTCACTCCCATGTGCAGAGTGGCTCCTAAAAAGTAACCAGAGAAAAAATAACATCTGAATGTTTGGAGGGAAGTGGAATAAATCAAATAATGAGGTGAAATAATGAATGATGAAATCCAGAGATGGAAACTTGACCTGGGGCTTTATTTCTGCTCATTTTCTTTATCCTGAACATCTGTATTTGATGTGAGGATGCAAACAGGTTTATGAAAGGAAGTTTTAGTGGAAAGTTTAACCTTTGAAGATCAAAAAAATTTCCAAATTTATTCCAAAAGACAAATGCTAGAGCTCTGCTCCAGAACACATTTGGAAAATTTAACCTTTAAAGATAAAAAAAAAATTCAAATTTAATCCAGAAACCAAGTGCCAGAGCTCTGCTCCAGAACACATTCCTGCTCCTCCTGCACAGAAATCTCTCCCTGGTACCTTTGATCTGCTGGATGATGATTGTGGCACAGCAGAGAGCTAAATAAATTCCTAAAGAAAATCAGAAATGTGTCAGCAGCGTGGAGCCAAGCCAAGGAGCTGATTGCTTTGTGGGAGGTGGAATTAGCATTGTTTGGAAAGAGCTCCTGGAAGCCCCACCTGAGGACAGGGCTCTGCTGGAGAGGAATGTGATAAAAATAGGAGCCAGCTCAAAATCCACATTGAAACAAAGGAAAACACTTCCTAAAGTGGGATTATGAGCCCGTGGTACTGGCATTGTTGTTTAGAGTTGATATTTGTTAATATTTGAATTGTCACTGCTCATTACTGACAGAAGGGATCTGGGGTTTGCTCACAACCACCCTGAGCTCAGGAATTAAACCCCAGTCATGCTCAACCACCAGGTAATCCTGGGCATTAAATATAAAATAATATTAAAATAGAATATTGTTAATGTGATGAACATGAAATAGAATATTGTTAATATGA